AACATGGCATCTGGTCTTGTTTTCATAAGTAATTTTGACATATTAATTGTCAAAATTAAGAAAATGACTGTAAGCTCCTTAAAGAAAGGGTTCATGGTTTGTCCCTCTCTGTGAAAACAACCAGTGGCTTAGGACTAGCTAAACCCTTGTTCCCAGTTTGGTGGCCTTGAGTTTCATAGGTGTGTGGTAGAGAGACCGGGGATTTAGAGATGAAAAGTCTCCATTGTAATCATGCCCACTTGAAGCCGATCACGCCTACAGATGCCAGGTGACTTCCTTAGGTTTTGTTGGCAGGAGACAGCTCCCTAGGCCTCCTCCCCACCCTCATTGTTCCCCACCAGTAGCTGCAAGCAAAGGTTTCCTTAGCAGAGACAAGGGAGTTATTCTGCCTTCATTGTGGCTAAACTTGCAGCTCAGCACTGGCGCATGCCCATTGCCTTCCAGCCCTCACTAACCCACTGGTGCTGGCCATGGCCTGTTCTGCCCACAGGGAGAACTCCACTTTCTTTGCCACGATCTTTCTTCATCTTAGCTGCATTTCAAGACCTATCCCAAATCTCCTCTCTGACTGCTATAGCCAAGCTCAGTCCGTTCTCTGAAGCCACTCTTACTTAACAGCGCACAGTGTTGCCAGAAACGACTCTCAGATTCGGTTTGTTCACACCAGTCCTCAAAGCCAACTTGTATGACAATTAGAGAAAGATACTAGGTTCTAAACCTTATTTCTCCTGTATTATCTTTGTGGTCAAGGGATGAACTTTTCTGAGCCCACTGTTCATGACCTAACAGCATCCCCGAGTCTCTCTAAAAGGTACAGTTGGAACTGTCTTCTTCCTACACACTCAAAATCCTTCTTTTAGCCTCATCTTTCTTATTCTTCTAGGTCACCTATTACTTGCAGCTCAGTGTTTGGCATAGCACGGGTACTCAATAAGTAATTAATTTACTTTGCCAGTACAGATGCTTTTTGACCCTCCAAGGGACAAGGTGATGTCTTATCAGCTCACTTCATATCCACAGCCTTGTGCCTGATACAAAGGGGACCCTGGGTAATACTTGAGGACCAGATGAGCTGTGTGCTTTGGGGATTCGGAGAAGAATGGGCACGGAGCGAAAGAGTTTAGGGAAGTGTCAACCCTCAAGCCAAACAAAGAAAGTTCTATAAGGGATAGAGGATAGTGACATCCTGGGGGATGAATTGTCTGAGCTTTTGTTAAGAAAGGGAAGAGAGCCATTTTTATGCTCTCACTGGCAAGAGTTAGACGGAAAAATAAAGGGAGCATTGATGGAGAGCAATGGGGTCTTTAAAGTGAGAAATTCCTCAGAGTGCCCTGTGTGCTGAGCGGGAAGAGCACCAGATCTGCCTCGGAAACACATTTTCTTCTCCAGCAGAACCGTTCTTTACCTGCAGGCAAAGAGCAAAAATTCACTTGCAGCGCAGGAAGAAAGCTGCTGAAAATCAAAGGGAAGCAGCAGGCGCAGCCCTGTAAGAGACTCCCACTTTCCTGTCCCCTAGACAGAAAGCCTGGGACGAGAGCTTTAACATCTGCTGTTTTCTGGGAGAAGGCAATTCTGCTGTAAATTATTGAACGTTTCATTTAAGCTTCATAAATAAGAAACTGGGATGAAAACATTACAAGCTAGATCCGTTTGGCAACGTATAATTTCTGTCTTACTCCCTTGATCTGTCACCCCTTGCATACGTTGGAAAATTTCTACTTCATTATAGGCAATTGAAGGTCTCAAATGGTTGCCTGAGAAAAGCAGTTTGTGCCCCCAAAGGTAACCTGATTCCTCCAACAAGGGGTGTTCTGAGGATAGTGGACTATATTGAGGACAGCGAAGCTGTTCTGAGGATAGTGGGCTATTTTGATGCACTGAAGGTGTGTTTTTAAACAGGTCTGTATGCATGGCAAAATCACCCACTCAATCTAGAGGCAGGTGCTAAGACCAGCCAGGGAGCACCCCCACTAACACCTGACTCCATGAGCCATTTATTTATTTATCTATCGTTCTGTCTATCTTTCTATCTATCTTTCTATCTATCTATCTATTCATTTATTTATCTGTTTGCATCAGAGTCAGGGTCTGAGCTTCCACAGACCAAGAAAAAATGTACCTAAAACCAATTAGTGCCTGTCTGGACACTTTTTGATAATAAGACCATCTACTTGAAAAAGTTTTTTAAAAATCCTAACATACTTCTCTGTGCTGGGTAGTGATAATATTGACAACAATCATAGACAGAAAGGACCTGTACACAGAAAATTCGTTGGATCCTTACAATGACCCACTGACAGCCAAGCTTATTATCCCCATTCTTCAGAAACTGAAGCCTAAAGATATTAAGTAGTCAAAGTAATATATGTGGAAAGTGGCTAGGCCTGAATACAAATGTCCACCAGACTCTAAAGCCTTCTAGACTTCAAACTTTACCTCTTCTTAGGTCGAAAGTCTTGGGAGAGAACCAAGTAAAAGTTAGAGACGGGACAAGTCGGTTTGAGGTAGGAAAATGGGGCCTAACTCTAATTCTGCCCAGAAAGGACCTAACTGCGCATTCTTTCAAGGAAGACTTCTGCCCCGCCACCGCCTCCCATATCAAGAGACAGAAATCTTTAATAAATAAATAAATAATAATAAAATAAAAAAAAGGAAGACTTCTGGGTAATCGCATAGAGTTTAAACTGAACTAAAGGGTGGGACCTTCTGATTTCCATACAGCATTCCCTTTTGTTAAAACAAGCCATTTTGATTAAGGAGAAGTTACTCAAAGAATTCCCTATAAAAACAATTTGTGTTACCTTAGGGCAGCCACAACAGCCCAGAGGATCAGATGCAGTTAGGGTGGGAGAAGGCATGCAGCCTTGAACTTGAAGGCTAGAAATCTGGGAATCTTCTCAAAGCGGTCACAGATTATTCCCATTGCCTCAATGTCTCATTTTTTTTATAAATGTTACACCAGGTTGAATGGTGTTTTCCTTAAAGTCCACGTCCAAACAGAAGCTACAGATATGACAGTATTTGGGAAAGGGTCTGTGGTTATGTGACCAGTTTAAAATGGATTTGTCTTTAACTCCTTTGTGTGTGACCGATGTCCTTTCCGAATGAGGAAGCATAGGAATCTCACATGACCGAGGAGGCAGAGAGGGCAATGGTGGATTTGCAAGCCAGAGAAAGAAAGCTAAGCACTGCCGCCAGAAGCTGGGAAAAGGCAAGACAGGATCTCTTAAAGCCTTAGGAGGGAGCATAGTCCCTTGTTGTCTTACATTTGGATTCCAGAACTGGGAGAGAATATGTTGTTGTTTTAAGTCGCCAGTTTGTAGCAGTTTACGGCAGCAGCCACGGGTAATTCATTAGGATGGATAGCAGACTTCCCATCCACCTTCATGGGATCGTGATGAAGCTCCAAGCACATTCATGCTTGTAAAAATGCATTGCACAAATGCAAGAGTGTCTTACAGTCCACAGTGCTCAGGAAGCCAGACCTCATAATAAGCCTGCTGTAAGGACTTAGCCTGACCACTGCGACACCCACGTGTGGAAGATGGCTGCATTTTCTCTAATCGAAGTCTTAATAAATGAGGGTGAATGTGAAGCTCATTATAGTATAAGAATAATGGTCCCCAAAGGTATCCATATCCTAATCCCTGGCATTTGTGACTATGTCACCTTCTGTGGTGAAAGGGACTTTGCTCACGCAATTAAAAATTCTTTAAATAGGAAAATCGTCCTGCACTATCTAGGTGGGTCCAACTTACTGATCTCAGTTGCTATAAGTTACATGCAGGGAGGTCAGAGTCAAAGTAGTTCCGACAATGGAATGTAAGATCAAAGAGAGCCAAAAGGGCTTGATAATGTTAAGCTTCAGGCTTTGAAGGTAAATTAAGAAAACAAAGGACAAGAAATGCACGTAGGCCCTAGAAGCTGAAAAAGCGAAGACATGGGTCCTCCCTTGGGACCACCAGAAGGAATGCAACCTTGCTAAGCCATCTTAGATTCCAGGCCTGAGTTAGAGGATCATCAATTTGGATTGTTGTGAGCTGCTAAGTCGTGGTAATTTGTCACAGTAGCCGTAGGAAACTATTACATCAATCAAACCGGTTGATCTGGAAAGGAATGTGAAACAGTGGAGAGAAAGACGCCAGAGAATTCCAGATGCTCCAGGAACCTGTCAGTGATCCTTTGTAATGAACTCCCGAAGGATTTCCCACGAGGCTTACACCCTTTAATTCTCAATTTCTTCCAAACTCTCAGAGTCCACCTAAAGCCACTGTAAACTGTAAGTGATCCCTAGCTTAAGTTACCTGGACTGAGTGAGTGGCCTTGCTGGGGAATTCACAAGTCCTGGACTTCTGCACACATCTGTGTTAAAAGCCTGGTAGTCCCTTGTTCAAAGGAAAATTCTATACATTATGGCCTTCTAGAAGCAACCCAAAAATCCCTATATGGTCTCAGGACCTATTTGCAAAACATGTAATATAATCCTCATACACACGTGCAAGAGACTCTTCCAAGGCTCATGTCTACAAGGTCCCTATTTGATTGCATTTTCTTCACACCTCACAGTCTAAGCAAGAAACCGCTTCATTGTTTTAGCCAACATGAGACTCATGTGCACAAAAAACCCATTCTAGACACGACCACCTTCCCCAAGGACACTGATGGGGGCAGACTCACTGCCTTTCAGAGACCCATAATAGGAGTTACTTGGTGCTGGCCAGTTCATCCTACCGACTTCATATGGCTTTTTCAAGTAGCAAAACTGGGGTTTCTTAATGGATAAAATTAGGAGCAAACTGAAGGTAGACTAAGCATGAACTCTAAGCAGGAATCTATGACCATTTTCTTCTCTTCGTTTAGCCTTCCTCATCACTGACACTTGTGTGTTTAGATTTGTGTGCATATGCGCGCACACACGCGTGCACACACACACACAGAGAGAGAGAAAGAGTAAGAGAGAGACAGAGAGCAGAATAATGTTTGTTTCTGCATCTCCACAGATCTGGTACCAGGCACAGAATACGGAGTTGGGATATCTGCCGTCATGAACTCAAAACAAAGCATTCCTGCTACCATGAACGCCAGGACTGGTAAGTACACCAATGGAGAAGGAGATGGCTAGCCTGCAAGCATGTAAGGCTGAGGGCGTATGGAGGCTAGTTCTGTCAGAACCAGACATGGGGTAGCCCTCCCAGGGAACAAGACCCTGTTGAAAACCCTTGCCTAGTGTCAGCATCTACCCTGTGTCTTCCCTGACAATTGAAGTTCCACCCTGTCACCCCAGATCTGGGTTTGACCCACAATCTGAAGGATTGTGCAGAGAACGTATGAAAACTCCCCACCAGGGCTGATGCCAAAGGAGACAGCATTTCTGTCTAACCCTCCTCACAACAGGCAGAATGTGTGTCCTTGGTCTGCGTTCCATGAACACCCAAAGAGGCCACCGCAATGAAGGCCTGCTTCCTATACCATTCCAGAGCAGCAGAAAAAGTCCACTTAAGATTCTTACTACTCTGGATTCAGAAGTTTCCATTCCAAGTGCCTGGGAAGTTTCAAAGTTACTACAGTAAGCTTAAACATAAGCATCTGGGGCTGGGCATGGCTAGGGGTTTGGACCAATCCCCATCCCCAAGATTCAGCCTGGCATAAATGAACTTGCTAGAGGAGCACACTTTCAAGAGTCTCAGAAGTCTTTAGACCTGTTCACTTGTGGTTAGGACAACCCAAAATAACCTCCGTGTCAGGGAGGAGAAGATGGGAAACTTAGTTGCTGTGAACTCTTTCTCCCACATGAGGCGGGCTCCTCTCTGCATGTTTGGCCTACCAAGGGGTAGTGAATGGAAACAAGTATAGAATGCTGGCAGGTCAGCACCTAGATCTATCCCAGTGGTGGATGTATTCCAGTATGTCGCTGCTACTACCCTCATTCTGCAGATTGTCCATCTGTTTGCCTGGCTCTGGCCATCAAAGGGGAGCTGCTTAAAAAATGTGAAAAGAGTAACAGCCATGAGAGTCTACAGCTCATGGTCAGCAGGTCTAGCGACAGCCTGTAAACACACAAGGTAGTCCAGTAACCAGTGGCTGCCCTACAGAGCCAGGGTGAAGTAGGCTAACTGCCAAGTGAGGTGGTACATGCCTGAACCTCACCCTTGGGAGGCAGAGGCAAGAGGATCAGAAGTTCAGGATCAACCTCTGATACATAATGAGTTCAAGACCTGTCTAGTTCTACATAAGATCTTGAATGAATGAATAAATAAATAAATGAAGCTTATTTTAATCTACAGAGCTTGACAGTCCCCGAGACCTTATGGTAACAGCCTCATCAGAGACCTCTATCTCTCTCATCTGGTCCAAGGCCAGCGGTCCCATTGATCACTACCGAATTACTTTCACCCCATCTTCTGGGATCTCCTCAGAAGTCACTGTGCCTAGGGACAGGACATCATACACTCTGACAGATCTAGAGCCCGGAGCAGAATACATCATCTCTATCACGGCTGAGAGGGGTCGGCAGCAGAGCCTGGAGTCCACTGTGGATGCCTTTACAGGTACCCGGGGAGCAGACATTTCAGTGAGACTCAGCAATAAACAGATCCCAAAGTGAGATGGTCATTAAGAAGCCCCAGTCTGCCAAAAGAGAAAACTAAAGATGTGTAGGGGAATGAGGGGGAAAACTAAGACATGGAAAGGAAATGTTTGGAAGTAAAGGGAAGGGGTGAGAGAGGATGCCACATGTCTGAAATCTTATTTTTGATTTTTTTTTATACAACCTAGGCACAGTACTTGGTTTGTCCATCTTGCCCTTCCTTCATTAAATCCGTGGGAATGCTAAAGCTCTATGATACATTTTGTTTGCCAAGTTAGAGGTTTCTAAATTTCGGGTCAGTGTTACAAATATTTCACAGAAATACTTCTAGTCTTCTTAGAACCGACTGTTCCGTATATATATACGGCTTGGGAGGAATAGACTAGGCCGGACCAGAGGGTGGGGAGGTAGGCCCTTTGAGCCAGCCAGTAGGTGAGAGTGCAGCCCTCAATGACAAAGAAGGAAGTCAAGAGTCTCTTCTGCCCCATGACCTACGGCCAAGCGTGTGCTTCAGAGCAGCCAATCTTCTCTGCTTTGCAGGCTTCCGCCCTATCTCCCATCTGCACTTTTCTCACGTGACTTCCTCCAGTGTCAACATTACCTGGAGTGACCCATCTCCCCCAGCAGACAGACTCATCCTCAACTACAGCCCCAGAGATGACGAGGAAGACACGATGGAGGTCCTCCTGGATGCCACCAAGAGGCATGCTGTCCTGATGGGGCTACAGCCAGCCACTGAATACATAGTGAACCTTGTAGCTGTCCATGGGACTGTAACCTCTGAGCCCATAGTGGGTTCCATCACTACAGGTGAGGCTGAAAGAGGTGGTGAAGAGGGTTCTCACAGTAGCCTTTGACAAGCCAGTGCAATTTAAAAAGGGAAACATCAAGGAATAACAAACTGGATCTATGGCTTACAGGCCTCTGTGAGTTATTCTGAAGCAGCTACTTCTTCCAAGCCTGCGTAAGAGACTTACCATGAGAAACTCCCACTTGGAAAGCAGGATAGACCCAATGCTTGGAGAGCTCAAATCGTAAATGCATTTGGTCCTAGATCTACCAACCTTGGAAGAAGCCCTGGAAAAAGCTAGTCTCCAAAGGAGTCCTTCTAAGTGAGAGATAGTGTTTCTGTTCTGGAGAGCCTTAACTGCCTAACAAGAGATTCCTCCTCAGAATCAACACAGAGCTAGCAAGCAACCATGAAGTGACCTGGCACTCAAAGACTGGGGCTGATTTTGCACAGCAGTCTGAGATGAATTGGGTCATTTCCATTTGATGTCCTGCAAATGCCATCCCAAATATGATATGAGTGTACATAAGAACACCTGTGTTTAGATGGTTCCCTAGTACAAAAACTCACACATTGAAAAAGTATATTACGTCATCAACTGATTCAACCCCACAATTTAAGTATGCACCACAAATAAAATACAACTTAGGAAGGTATATTTGTTTGGGATTTGTGCTCTGAAATCCCTCTACAGTTATTAGGTAGTTTTCCCACATTGAACCAAAGGTGGTTGAAAAAAATAAAGAAAGACAGTAGCAGCATTGAGTCTTTCCCAAAGAAGTCTCCCTCAGAGAAGATAACTGTATAATTCCCTATCTGAAATATAATACAGGAACTTAAAGGATGTTTCTGGTTGGTCTAGATAGGTAGTAATTGTTGCACAGAAGCACAGATCTTCCCAATTCCTGTTGTTAGAATGTTCTGAACTGGCTTCAGCCACAGCTACAATGTTTCAGGTGAGACATCACACTGACCAACCAATTAGGGATGTGCCATTAGTGATACAGGATTGTGCCTGCCTATGGGACACTACTGGATCAAGGCAAACTAGGAGTAGAAATTTCATTTTCAAACAATCTTCTGTCTTTTTCCCACAACTTCCTGATCTTTGTAGGAATTGATCCCCCCAAAAACATCACAATTAGCAATGTGACTAAGGACTCGGTGACGGTTTCCTGGAGCTCTCCTGTCGCACCTTTTGACTACTACCGTGTGTCATATCGACCCACACAAGGTAACGAAATGATTTTAATTAAACACAAATGAGGTCTGAAGCTGGGTAGAGAGTAATATGGGGCTCCTATCACATCCACGGGACACTGGCATCTCTCTGCAGCATACTCCCTCAAAATGAGAGGGTGTCAGGAAAGAATGACTGGGGAACCATGAATTCACCACCTCCTCTCAAAATAGGCTTGGTTTACATGACCCTGGAAGCCAGACACTTCACCAGCGGAAGTAACTGGACACCATTAGCTAAACTGTGCAATAAGAAACAATGAACCTTAAAAGACTTTGCCTGGAGCTGGGGCTACATGTGCTCGCCTGAGCATAAAGTCTAAGGCTAGAATTCAGGACATGGATGGAGGCCCAGCAGAGCCAGATGGAGCCCTGGAGGGGATCACAGTGATGTGATCTTAATCCTGCCGTTGTAGCCAATGTGTGAGTCAGAGAAGTTGACTGAGACCTTGCATGCACAGTGCCAGCTCTTGCTGGTGCATGAGGCGTTGTTAACAGTGAGCAAGGCATGCCCACTTCCCGCTGGGTAGGACAGTTTTCCAGGCTACCTTTCTCTGGACTGCATAAGCACTTTTTGCAGCTCTGCCCACTACACTGCCTTGATAATGGTCACCTCGGAAGAGACCAGTCTGTTAGAGACCTACATAGTAAATAATTCATTTACTTTTGTTTTAAGGAGCCAATAAAATGAAAGAGTGAGGCCAGCATATAAGATTTATTTAAACGCCACCATTACCATCTTATGAATTATTGATCTGCCTTCCCTATTGCATGTTGAGCCCACATCCATCTGTGCTTCATGACCCAATGTCCCAATGTACACTGAGCCATGGGCCCATGGATGAGAGCGCTGTTTAACTTCTAACAATGGGTTTTGTTCTTCTTCAGTGGGACGGCTGGACAGCTCTGTGGTGCCCAACACTGTGACAGAGTTCACCATCACCAGGCTGTATCCAGCTACTGAATATGAAATAAGCCTCAACAGTGTGAGGGGCAGGGAGGAAAGTGAGCGCGTCTGTACCCTGGTGCACACAGGTAAACATGGCTCCCTTGTCGAGTGTCAGGTCAGGACACGAGCAGCAGGTTTGAAACAAACACAGGAAGCAGGGTGAAATTATTCCAGTTCATATAGCGGATATCGGCTCCAGGGCCTGAGGCACCATTTCTTGGTCTCCTCTGACTCACCATGTCCTGCAGGACAAGTTGTGATTTCTCTCCCCAGACTGTCTTGTCTAATTATAGGAATTCAGTGAGTCACACTTGAGGAGCCTTGCTGCTTTAGGTTAGGAATTTCCATGGAATTTCCACTCTGAAGAGTGCCCTTCAAAGACGCCTGCTGGAGACACATTCTGCAGCGAACATTCGGATAACAGGATCTCTTTAAGACTTGGCGGTGGGAAGGGGAGAACCTCAGGGAAGAGTTGTTATTTCAGTTACAGGAAATCGGGGGTGAGATTATTCATCTTAGATAGTCACCCTGTGCCTTTGCTTTATGCTCCAAGAAAAAGGTTCTAAATCCTTCACTCGTATGAAGGCACTGAGGTGAGGTTGACCCAACATAACATCCTCAGTCACCAACAAGAACACTATATAGTCCCTGTTCTTTTATAGGCTATCTAATCAGATCCAAGTGTCCCCAAGCCCCTTCACAGAGGAAGGAAGGTGGGGGAGATAGAACATTTTACAATATTGGAAAGTAGGAAGAGAAGCCCCCTTTCCAGGCCTTCTTCATAAAACTAGCTCTTTGGATAAGCCTGGGAACAGGCTCCCTTTCAGCAGCTCCCCTAACCTTTCCTCTCTGGTCCTTAAGCAATTGTATTGGTAGAGTCAGCAAAGATTCCTATAGATGTCACTGGAAGCCACAACCATCAGTTTCCATCCTCGATATTGAGAACAGACCTTCTAGTTAAAGCGTAGTTTCTACATGTAGGAAAACATTCAGCCTGCCTCATTAAGAGAACACCTGGATTTCCCGACACCTCTTAATTTCCCTGGAGATGGTGTTTCCTGAAGGAGGGAAATGTGCCTAAGAATTTCTCACTGCTTTGTAGATACTCTCACAATCACTGTAATGGCATCTTTACACAGTGGCAAACATGTCTTTCAGAAACATAAAGCAGCCTTCTCAGGACAGCACAGGGTGTTCTGACCGCTCCTAACCTTCCTCCTTCCAGGTCTGTGACTGTAGAGGCATGAGCTATGGTTTATCATTCAGTCTGGTACTAATCCTCTAATTATCTGTGATTATTAAAGCATCTGGTTAATAAATGTTGATCAGAAGTAATGTCCACTGAGCCAAGAAAGCCCCTTTCGTGCCCTCCTGACATCCATATTTTCTCATTGAGAATCATAAAATGGCTTTCTAGAGCATCTTGCTCCCATGATAAGAGGGATATGACTGGGCCCAAAAGCTAACTCCTGGTATTCTTGGTCAGCAAACATCTCAAAAGCAGAAACTCCACAGTGCATCAAGTCACATGGTCCTCCTTCAAGTTGGTAAGGAACTGTGCTATACTCAAGTGTCTTGGTTTATTGCTTTAAAGTAGTCACGATGATCTTAAATCTTTCAGAAATGAGAACCTCTTCAAGACACCATCCACACCTCAGAAATCTCCCAACTATACTCTAGTAAGAATAGCATTTAAAGAGGTTTTTGAAAGCACAGATTATAGATAAAATTCAAAAGATTAAATTATAAGGGCTTCTGATTGCTACTTTATGATGAGAAACAAGCAAAAAGGAGAGAGAGAAAACAAAACACCAAATACAGCTCACTTAAGTACAGAACATGGGTAGACTAACAGTGGAATCTGGTTCCCAAACATAAATTGTATGACTCAGATTGAATTATCACTTAAATTATTATAATAGCATCCACTTTATAAATCAATTCCAACCTTATGAAAAGGATACACATAAGTGAATCCAAGAGTTACAGCACAGATGAGTAAAATCATAATCCATTCACAAGCAAACTTTCTTCCCCGATAGGCACTCTTGGCTCCCCTAAGCTTGTGTGAATCCCCTAGGTTCTCTATGCACCAAAAAGGAAGCCCTGAACACAGTCGAGAGTAAAGCTTGTCAATGGTGACAAAAGAATTCAGGAAATGGATATCATTCTGTGGCCGAGCTATTGGTGTGGGTGCCCTGCACTTCCTCCACACTTCCTGGGCTTCACAGAGATCTTTCCACAAAGGTCACCCTTGCATATGTAAAAGAACAAGTGGACTGGAAGGCAGAATTATCTCAGTAACTAAAGAATCATAACATTTTCAATAGGTTCTTCACACCATCTAGATTAAAATATCTAAAATACAACAGAAAGTATTTCAAATTTTCTACTTCCCATTGAACCTGTCAAAGAATTCTGCACAAAATAAATTACCAAGTTAATTTAAAAGAAGGACTTATGGCAATTAGGAGAGAAGTGGATACTGGAAAGGGGGAGAAAGAAAGGGATGAATGGAGCCAGACAGGTAGAAAAAGAATCAGTCTACACTCCAGAAGTTTTATCCAGAAGAGTGACAGATATGGCATCATATGGGAAAATTCTGATGGTTTATGGTACTTCTACCCTGCAGCTGCTCTTTCTTTAACCTGACACTCTCCTGTTCTGTTTCAGCCATGGATAGCCCTACGGATCTGACTGCTACCAATATCACCCCCACAGAAGCTCTGCTTCATTGGAAAGCACCCATGGGTGAAGTGGAGAACTATGTCATTGTCCTCACACACTTTGCGAGTGAGTGTCTATGGGTGGGGGTCGTAGGGACTGGAGCTGTAAGCCAGTATGGAAATGAAGAACTAATTCATTTTTCCCAGCTGAAAGTCCAACCAGAATTTACCTCAGGTTGGGGAAATTATGTAGCTCCCAAGCTGTAATAAAGTCCTCAAGAAATCCCCCAACTCCTGTAAACAGTTGATGAGAATCACACAAGCCCAGTCTGAAAGGCTCAAGGAAGGGGAGCAACCAAGAACAAACACAAAATCCGAGCTAACAGTGGGAAGACAAAACTTAGAACTGAGCTAAGATTTTCACCAAAGGGCTGCAGATAAAAAGAAGTTTCTAGAACAGCAGTTTTCAACCTGGGGGTTGAGACACCATTGGAGATAGAATAACCCTTTCGCGGGGGTCACCTAAGATAATCATAATACATAGATATTTATATTACAATTTACAACAGTAGAAAATTACAGTTATGAAGTAGCAATGAAAATAATTTTATGATTTTGGGTCACCACAATATGAAGAACTATTTTAAAGGATCACAGCATGAGGAACTGTTTTAAAGGATCACAACATTAGGAAGGTTGAAAACCAAAAGTTACAGGAGGATCAAACTTGGCAGAGATAACATGCTAACAGGTGTCTTAGTTATGTTTCTATTGCTGTGGAGAGGCACCATGATGGTGACAACTCTTAAAAAGAAAAAGATTTAATTGCAGTGGCTTACATTTTTAGAGGTTTGTTTATTCCGTTAGCATCACGGCAGGAAGCAGGGTGGCATGCAGGCAGACATAGAGCTAGAGAAGGAACTGAGTGTAACATGAAGGGGCCTGATTGTTGGGGTTTATGCCCTGCCTGGTTCCCCACAGCCGGCAAGCCCCAAAGAAAATCACACAGAGATCTCCATAAGTTATAAAACTGATTGGCCCATTAGCTCAGGCTTCTTATTAGATCTTATAGCTTATATTATCCCATTGTTCTTAACTATGTTAGCCATATGACTTGGTACCTTTCTCAGCCTGGCAGCTTACATCTTGCTTCTTCCGTGGTCTGGGCAAGACTGGGAGGAATGGGCTTCCTTCTTCCTAGAATTCTCCTATTCTCATCACCCTGCCTCTACTTCCTGTCTGGTTGGCCCACCTATACTTCCTGCCTGGCCAATCAACGTTTATTCAAAATATGATTGACAGAATACAGACAATTCTCCCACACCAGCTGAGAGCTCTTACATCTTGACTGGCAGGCAACAGGGAATTATCTGAGACCCTCGGTGGTATCTTGAGCACATATGAGACTTTGAAGCCTGCATTCACAGTGACACACTTCCTCCAACAAGGCCACACCTCCTAATAGTGACACTCCCTTAGGGGGCCATTTTCTTTCAAAGCCACCACAACAGGTGACAATTGATTTAGAACTGCTAAGCAATGTTTCTGTTGTACTGGCTGTACATCCAGCCCAAAACTTTAAATCAACACAAAAATTTGAATATCAGTGCTGTTTTCATCATACTCACTCCCCTTATGCTATTTGAAGTTGACTAGAGAAACTCAAAGCAAAACAGAAGCATATTCCAAATATCTAGGCTTAGGGAAATTTTTTCTTGTCCAAAATTAAACATATGATAACAGAATTATTTGTGAGTTATATTCAATAATCTAGGGAACAAAGATACCAGAGAACAGAAGGCAGGCAGATGACTTGATGTTCAGAGACGGAAGAGAAAGCCAGTTGTACAAGCTGCGAAGAATAATTTGTCGTCAAAGTTGGGGAAAATGAAAACTAACACACAATATCGAACAAAACGGAAATGGCATTAGTCAGTACTATGTACCAGCTCAGGATCACAGAGCTTCCTCGTTGATTTCAAGTTGTTTTGGCTTTGCAACCCTATTAGCACATTTACATTTCAGCGCAGCGTTAGAAAGCTGAGTATCGTTTTGTCTTTGATGGAGATGAAAAAACACACGATAAACCAAGAGTTTGAGTTGATCAGAACTATAGCTGATTGCATAGTCCTTTCAAAGAAAGATACCACGGATACATCCCAACCCTTCTATGCTCTTGCCAAGCCCTTCTCAACTCCTACTGTCCCTTGGTGTGTATCATGGTCCAGCACTTCTTAAATCAGCATACTTTTCTAAGCCTTCAAGTCTCTCTGCATTTGCCCATGCGCCATTTTCTTCATCAGGAACTTCTCTCCCCAAGAGTCAACCTAGTAAGCCTGTCTTTCAGGTCTTAGCTGCAGCCCTATCTTTTCTGACAAAGTATCCTCCATTCTCCCAAGGCAGTCAACACACCTGCTCACAATGACAAGGCATACAGCTCCATCCTCTCCATTCACCAAATGCTTTTGATAACCTCCCATAGGCTATGTACTCACTAAGCCTAGAAAAGCTCAGAAGCAATGCTTGTGTTCTTATCATTATGGAACTTACCTCTAGTGATGATGCAGAGAAGTAAATACAGCCTGGCATGAGCTGTGGCATGAACTATGCAAGACAGAGCATAGTGAGCTACACCCAATGGGCAGCCATAATTTAGAATCAGGGTATTGAGGGGAAGAAAGAAACACAATCTCAGAGAAAGTAAAAATGATGAGGGAATTCTAAAGAAACATACAGCCTTCCTGTATTTGGAGAGAAATGAGCATGTAGGACCTGCCATAGTTTAGTTAAGTAGAGCATTGAGGGATGGCAGGATATCACAAAGTAGATAGCAAAAAGATGGCCATGATGTACATTCTTCTAAGGAGTTTTAGGTTGTTTTCAAAGGCATATAAAGATGCCTTGTTTCGTTTGTCTTTAGATCACAACAAACTTCAAGCATCAGGTCTGACCTAGTTTGGAGCTGTACCTAACTAATAAACTTTGTTAAATGCTGAATGATTCAGAAATATTCTAATTGTCTAACAGAGGGCTTGGCTCTGAACTAATGAACAGTTTTATTAACAGCTTGAGTGAGCCCCGAGAAGATGTGCTTACAAAACTTGTATATAAAACAAAACCGTGATTGATTGAATCCACATTAAAAATGTTTTAATAAACTGAAACCGTGATCCAAAAATTCAACCAAGGTGAAAGATGGTGGAAATACAAGCAAAACTCAGCCCACAGGTCAAAATGATCAACCAAGGCAGTGGTGATAAACAAAGTCATTGATTGATAATAAATTCAGTTTGTAATGGCAATGATGCATGGCTGTCCTACAGCCTGGAGTAATACAAATAGCAGGCACAGAAGCGGGCTGACCCTGTTTACACCATTGATCAGTGGCACCGATTCTTGTTCTCAGTTCTCTCCCAAGATCTGCATTTCAGAAAAGAGCTTGATGAACTTTCTTGTCCAGAGAGAAGCAGTCAGGACTATGGGAACTTTGGAGTTGTCATATAAATGTAATGAGAGGCAGGGGCTGAATATTCTTGGGATAAAAGAGGGAACACTTGATGGGGAAAGTGGATGGAAGGAAACAGTCAAATAAACAAGAACTCTTCTTACTTTTTGATTACAGAGACCTGAGTAGAAGGTAGAGAGACACAGTGTGGCCTCCGTGTACAGAATAGTCTTTCTGGAGAGTAAAAGATAAAAGGGAATCCTTGTACAGAGCAGTAAACTCCATAACATGTAGTTCTCCCAGAATTCTCAGATATTGAGTCCATGTGAGATGCCTTTAGACATGGTAGGTCTTTCCTTATCTGTACGGATCTGATTTCAGTTGCAGGAGAGACCATCCTGGTTGATGGAGTCAGTGAAGAATTCCAGCTTGTTGACCTGCTTCCTAGCACCCGTTATACCGTCACCATGTATGCCACCAGTGGGCCTCTCGTGAGTGGCACCATTGCCACCAACTTCTCTACCCGTGAGTACAAGCTCCTGCATGGCTAGTATAAACCCTGCAGGATTGTGTGGAACCAAAAGAAAAAAAAAAACGATACTTCCTTGTAATGGAGTAGGTAATAAGCTATAGGTTTTGGTGATCCAAAGATAATTCAATTGAATGTGGTACAAATACTGTATTGCCATCAATTAGCACTTATGTCTCTACATCCAGGATCTAGGTGACAAGAGCAGAGCCATACAAGAAAATCTGGTACTAGACTATATCTGGTACTGGAAACTCTGAATATTAGGAAGCTCGATATGGTAATGGGGAGCTGCTGGGTAAAATCCTGACCGGCACATTAGGACAAGAGAAGATACAAGGTGGCTACAATTCAAGTAGACCATGGTTAATGGACTTAGGAGCCTAAGCATAAAGAGTTGTATTGGAAGACGCCATGCCTAAGCTCAGCATCCTGCTTGTGGGGGTGGGAGACACTTCAAAGAAGGATACTAGCACCCTTTATGTTCCCATGCAAGCCAGAACTAGAGTCGGCACAGGGGCAGACCTGTAAGCAAGATTGCCATGCCTGAAGTCAAACAAGGAAGAGCTGGAGAGATAAGGACATTCTGGCATTTTCTCTTCCTCGCAGTTCTGGACCCTCCTGCCAACCTGACAGCCAGCGAAGTCACCAGGCAAAGTGCACTGATCTCCTGGCAACCACCCAGAGCAGATATTGAAAACTATGTCTTGACATACAAATCCTCCGATGGCAGCCGCAAGGTAAGTATTAGCTAGAAAGAGGAAAGCCCTTTATTCCCACATGAGGTCATGTGGAAACTGGTCAGTGGAATGACCCATGGAAACTGCAGGGATGGAGAAGGAACCAATTCACAGGCAACCAATGGAGTTTCAGATCCTGGATACAGAGCCTATAATGGAGGAGAGAGCCCAGGTTTACAAACCAGGAAATGCCAAGCTGTGGCTTTGCTATTGCTCACTGCCCATACTGTGGTAAATCAGTAGCCCTCTCTCAGTGTCGGTGTCTTCTCTGGATCATTACTAGGTATGGTGGTGCTCTGGGCATCATGGTGACAAAACATGACAAGCTCCTAATCCTGTGTTATCAGAAGCAAACATGAGGCAGATAATAAACCCAGAGGCCTTTATGCCTTGATAAACATCATAAAAGCACCATCTCTGTAGCCTACAATAATGAGATGATACATTCTGGTTTTGTGTCATCGGTCTAAGCGATCCACCAGAAGAGCACTAGCTGGCAAACCTTCTCTTGCGGTGTGATCCTTTAAAAAGTGAAAGTCATATATAAAGTCAAATCTAGAGACCAAGCAAAGTAAAGCAAGTCTGTTGATGGTGGTAGAGAGGCCTCGGGTTCTGCTTCCTCAGCTGCTTCTCCTCCACAGTAAGCCCAATGCAGCCTGAAGCCACTGACTCAATAACTCAGGTACCTAAATTTATCCCATGTGCATTTGTGAGATAGGAGCCCTAAACCTCACGTGGGAGCTCCCCCCCCCTTGCCCATTGGCAGTTTTCTCCTTACTGTGGGATGGAGAAGGCGGCATTGCTGACCTAGCTTCCCTACTGTCCCCCCACCCCCGGCTTTCTTTATTCTTGCCCTCTGCAGGAGCTGATTGTGGATGCTGAGGACACATGGATCCGACTGGAGGGCCTGTCAGAGAACACAGATTACACAGTGCTCCTACAGGCAGCTCAGGAAGCCACAAGGAGCAGCCTCACCTCTACTGTCTTCACCACAGGTGAGGGACTTGGCGTCACTTGGATGCCTTCTTCTCCCTGCATGGCGCCTGCCTCCTCAGCACCTCTGCTGAGCCCTGGCCTGAAAGGAGCCTATTAAAAACACTCAGCTTCCTCTTCCTTTCTTCCCTTTTCCCAAGGCCCTGCCAGAAAATCCCTACCACTGAGGTGATCATGGAAACACAGCCCAATCAGTGGTCCATGTGGACCAACTAAGGGCACTAAGTAGAGATGTCAGTTTGCTTCTCATTCCCAGTTTCCTGCCTGTTCCTCTACAAAAAGTCTTCTTTCTTTCTCTGTCCTTCCCTTGATGCCTGTCCTCAGTAGCACTTCTAGTAAGCGTAACCTTCAGTACTGAGCTTCACACACCCTCCCACTTTTGCAAGCACAAAGTTCTTTTATGCATTCGGTGTCTCACTCAATCTTTAAAACCACTGATAATACCATTTTAAAGGGCAGGAATATGAGTTAACACGTAACTTAGTGGCAGAGCATTTGCTTAGCATGCAGGAGGTCCCAGATTCAACTCCAACGCCACAAAATAAAAATAGATAGATGGATGGATGGATGAACGGATGGATAAAAATAAAAAGCCCAGGAACAGGAGTGTGGCTTAATACAATATTTTTATCTAATATGTTCAAGGTCCTAGGTTTGATTCCTGACTCTACAGAAAGAAGAAAAAGAGAAGGGTTCTAGAAATCAAAACCTTACATGGTTTTCTGGCAAGCACTGTCCTAAACACATTATGTACATATTGAACAGTATTTAATTTCATCTTCACAATAGCCTCTGTCCTATAGACTATTACCTCTATTTTATTTGCTTTACAGGCAAGGAAAGTAGGGCACAACAGAAATGAGAGCACTCATTCAAGATTCTATGGCTTTTAAGTTAGACAGCTGAGATTTGACTCCAAACAGTCCAGCTCTGGATCTGAACTGTTAATTCTGCTCTCTGCCACCTCCCTGGCATCCCTTTTTAGTCTGTGATGTGTAACTCCCCACCCACCCAGATTTTTGACTTTCACTTTTTAGGGATAAGGGTATATCCATCAGTGGGACCACTATGAGCATATTCCTCACCCCTAAACCCTGGTTTCCTGAATTTCAGAGTACCAGGATGACTGGGTCCTCCTCCCATGTCCTAGAGCCTGCCCTTCATCTCAAAAGAAACAACAGAAATCACCCCCTACTTCCCTTCTCTCGCTATAATCATTCTAGATAACAAAGAGCTGGACAGTGAAATAATAAATGAGTCCCTTTCCATTGTTTTTAATACTTTTCAATACTTTAAACAGTGTCTCCAATGAGTTCATTAGTCAGAAGCAACTATTTTAATGGGAAAATAAAAATAAACTGCTCACAGAACCAAGACATGAATCCATGACATATTCTTACCAAGTGGAACTTAGAGAATGCTTGATGGCTCTTCTGAGGCTGAAGTTTATTTTTGCGATCTCAAAGATACCTTATTAAGAACTAGGGTGTTACCTCTTGTTCAAACTCAGCCCTGCACATTCATAGGCTAATTAAAGGGTCCTTTATGAAGCCACCACTTAAAGACCCGCTGGGAGGAGTTTTCTGCTGAATTAAGAATTTTTCAGCATAAAAAGAACACAGCTAATAGATGCACGGATCTACCGGTTTGCACATTTATTGGATTAAAGGAATCATTTTGTCACCCAAATGCTCAGTGTTAGATGAGCTTTTCATTTTCATCTTGCTGATGTCACAGTTGGCAGGAGTGAGCAGTGTATCAAATGTCTGAAGTTTCTGTGGTATCTGCAGCTACAGTCCCTTTCCAGATCCCTCTGGACTGAGCAGTGTATCAAATGTCTGAAGTTTCTGTGGTATCTGCAGCTACAGACCCTTTCCAGATCCCTCTGGACTGAGCAGTGTATCAAATGTCTGAAGTTTCTGTGGTATCTGCAGCTACAGTCCCTTTCCAGATCCCTCTGGACTGAGCAGTGTATCAAATGTCTGAAGTTTCTGTGGTATCTACAGCTACAGACCCTTTCCTGATCCTTCTGGACTGAGAAGTGCAACAGGTTCCGTGACCATCACTGCCTTGTCTTAGATGCAATAGTTTGGATGTGGGACTCCAGATCTAGCCAGGGTCTTGGGAGGATTAAATCAGGTAATTGACAACTTACTTGGCAATCCGGAGAGGAAGCTGGCAAAAGACTTAGTTTGATGGGCAGTTCAGGTAACTATTGGTGTCTATTTAGGTTGGTTTCTTGTTCTTACAGGACTCAAGTTGACAATGGGCTCCTTAAACATATTCAATGTCAAGTCAGAAAAAAAAAAGAAAGAAAAGGAAATAAAAACCTGAAGAGCCCAACTCATTCCATATAGAGTTTAGGGTACCAGCAATGAACTCACCACTACCCCCTAATATGTAGCAAAAGAGTGTCCAGGTTTGGGAGTTGCAGTTTTAAAGCTGAAATTTAAGTCACAGATGCATCCCAAAACCTGCTGGCTTTGTTTTGAAAATTTATCAGAACCCACTGAGACCTAGATGCTGAGTGAAAATCTCTTGGGCAAGAAATAATGTATGACCAAGTCCCATGGACAAAGCCTGGTATATTCAGACATGAGAGATGAACTGAAGAGTTAAATTTCAGCTTCAGGGTGCAGAAGTGGAGGTCTTGTGATAAAACAAAACTGAAGAGAAGAGAACTAAGATTCTTAATACCCTATGCAAGGATGCTACAAAGGTGTGCAGCTTGCAGAGTTTGAAGGCCGAAGTCCCCCTCTAGTGTCAGGTTCTATCTGCCCACAGTACAATTCTTCCAGGGTACATTACACCGGGCTACACTGTCAATGGATAGTTACTGTTAATAATAACTTACTTCCTGCCACAGTCCCTGTCCCCTGCCAAGAGGAAATTTTATCAGAGAAGAGTATACAAGTGCATTTGCTTACTAAAGGTGGGGGTGGGGAAAGTGCCAAAAAGGGAAAGTAGTCAAAAGTAGAAAACGGAATATCTTTACCCAACCCAAGACTGAAAGGGTTGCTTGTCTAGACCCCATGGGTATAGGCTAATCCTGCTGAGCAAGTCTGGGGAACACTGAAAGTCTACATTGCAGTACAGCAGGGCTGAAAGAGCTGGAGGCTAATTTCCTTTATCCACTAGCATCCTTTCAGCTTAATTGACAGCATCTGCGCTTTTCACTTAGCATCGTCCTATTCTGAGGATGCACTGAATGTGTGAGTTTTCTGTGCTTTCTCTGATGGACAACAGAGTTTAAAAGTTTGGCTTCAAAGTAGCCTCCATCACTGACAAACATTCATCTCGCCCTGGGGTGACTAAAATAAAGGAGTCACTCAAGCAGGTGCTTATCTAATGGTCTGGGAAATAGTTGAGATGCTAATAATAATAATAATTTTTTCTTTTTCCTTTTATTGAAAAGAGTTTTTTCTCACATAATATATCCTAATTATAGTTTTCCCTTCCTTTACTCCTCTCGATTCCTCCCCATCATCATTATTATAGAACAGATCTGGCCTCAAAACCTCCTTCGATCAAAATGCCTTTTCTTAGGTTCATACCACACAATATGAGCCCATTCCAATCTTTCCATCATGTTAATAGCTTCCTGTCCTCTTGTCTCTGGTGTTTGCACAAGGCTCCGGGGGGAATTATATACAAGTCGTATGGGAGAGAAAAAATATGGATACATTATTTATAATTTGCTGTCTCCTGAAATTTCATCCAAGGTCTACTTGTCTTTTAGAGACATGAATTTAAATGAGGAAACAAATCTATTCCCCGCAGAGCCACAGGGACTTGGTGAAATGATCTTCTGAGAGGCAGATTTCATTGTCTCTTTAATACTATAAAAGGCAAACAAGACTTGGTAAAGCTCATCCTCAGAGACAGTGAACACTATAAAAGGGTTGTCTTGACCTTGAGGTTAAGCGAAGAGGTAGCTAGAGATGAGTAATGAGGAGGTTGATGTTTTGTTTACTTTGCTTTTGTATTTTTATTCTTTTTTTATTGCCTTTGCCCCTGCTATCTCCCTTCCAGGTCAGGCTGTTCTGTGACTCTCTCCAGGAAAACTCTGGGGTCTCCTTTGACATAAAACTCAGTTTTTTTAGGTTGTAAAAATGAGTGAAAATTGGCAAATCCTAGACTCCAACAAAGTGAGTAGTGGATTCTAGAAAAACACGTGGTTACCAGAATTTCTATTGGAAAGGGAAGCCTGTGTTATCTGCACACCAGGGCATCCTCTGCCTCTACTTCCACGCAGGAGCTGGGGGATTTCCCACTGCTCTACCACTTAAAAAGGGGCAGGGAGACAGGGCAGACAGACAGACAGAGATACACACAGAGGGAGGTCTGCCTTTGCGCTCCTCTGAGATCTGGCTGTGGAGAAGGAACTGGCACCCTAATCATACCATAAGACTATACCTTCCCAAGCATGTCTAAATGTCAGATCAACGGCTTGTATTAATCAAACTGTCCACTTTATTGTGTGTTATCAATATCAGCCTTCAACGAGGTCCCTGTTTGTATTCGCTCATTAATTTTCTTTGGCCCCAGCTCTTTTTCTGTCTTCCATAGACAGCCATCCCAACATATCGAATGGGTACCCTTTGAAAAACACATTCTTAAAGAATTGTTTTGATTATGAATGATTTAAATGTGCGTAAGGTGTTTTGTATTATATAACTCATTAAAAATGTTTGCACTTGGGCACTTTCAGATTCATCAGTCTTTTACTTCTAATTATTGTAAAATATTACTTGATGTGTGCCCATCACATTTGCCTTTCCACTCTCTCAAAGACGGGCATCAAATTGTCTCCAGCCTTTCACAATCCCAAATGGTGCTGTAGTATATCCTCAATGTATCCACCAATGGGCCAGCGAAGCGTGCAGAAAATGAATGGCCAGGTCCAAGGTATGTAGTTTAAGTACTTACAGACTGGGTACACAGGAATGCCCTTGTTCTCTGGGAGCACACATCAGTCCTGATGACTTGACACAGTCCAGCC